CTGTCCTGGTTGTTAGTCTTGGGCTGAAAAGATTTCCAGAGCCTCCCCCGACTTCGTATTTTTATGCTTGGAATCCACTGCTAGGCCTACTCACACCGGGCAGCTTTACTGCTGTGCTATGCACGCTGCCTCTCAACCCTCTCTTCACGACATTTTTCTTTCCTTTGGCTTCTGTTGCTGTTTTGTTGAACAGTTGTTAGTTTATGATTCTGAGGCTGGCCTGGATTTATGAGATCAGAGAGGTAACCATGGTCATAAGGTGATTGGGAAATGTAATAAGGAGCATTTAGAGCTATGAGAGGATGTTTTTATCCCCACCAGCTCTTCCGGGGTCACAGCAAAGGAAAGACGCCAGTTGGTAAAAAGAGCAAAGACTCAACCACTTGGTTCTGACTTCAAAATAAAGGCTGAAGGAGACACAAGAAACTTCCATTTTACAAGTTAGACACATCTTTTCTCGAAAACACCAAACCCAGGAGAAAATGGGGATCTTAAATTAAGAGGGGGTGAATAGACAGGTCCTCCTGCTCCCCAAAACCTGCACCCAATATTGATCAACAGTGAGGCCCCAACCAATGGGACACAGGGAAGGAAAAGAACAGTTACCTGCGGACCCAAGATGGATGCTATTCAATCCATGCTTCCAACCCTGTAGCCCTCACCCCATTATCCCCATCCTGTGCCCCCCACCCTGTGCTCCCTACCCCTGTACTCCCCACCTCACAGCTCAGACCCCATTCTTGTTCTGGACTGGGAAGAGGCAATCCTTAAAACCAAGATAGTGGGAGAGCCCCCACCCAGACGTAGGTTTGTTGACAATATGGCAATAGGAAAGCCAGTCTGAGGCAAAAATCATGCAGATGTTCTCTGAATAGAACAGAAAAGGCTGTGAGAAGATCCACAGGAGATTTGAGGTTCCAATCTTTGTTGTGGCCTTCTTTGTGCCAGAACACCACTGAAGGGCAGCCTTGTCTCGTCTGTACCCTTGAGGAGGGCAATGGAACTAGTAAAAACAGTCACATCTGGCAGAGGAGAGAGGATTCCAAATGACACTCATCAGTATGATGCAGAGGGCTCAGGGAGCAACCTCAGAGAGCTCTTGAGCCTGGTAGGAATGAACATTGGTCACCGACTGACTGAAGATGCTGAGAACTCCATACGGTTGGTTAATACCATATCAGAAACTGCCTCCCACAATACTGCGGCTCACAAAACCCCTCCCCCCAGCCTTGCTTCCTACAGTTTGGAGACAACGTTGATTAACAGAATATACCTGCAGTGACCCCAGCGTGTTCTTTATGAGAAAGCATGGAGGCTCAAAAGGGAAATAGTGTTGAAATAGACCATTAGCAATGCCACTTAATAGTGTTGCCTTATCTGGCACACTCCAGTATTTGTGACACCATAAAATGTAATTTCTGCAAGGATCAAGAGTTCTGCTGCCCCAGGCCAGAGCCACAAAGTGTTTTAGAGGTAAAGACTTCCTGTAGATGCCACACCTACTGCTGACCACGCCCACTGTCAGCCTTGTCTACTGTGCGTTGCTTCAGACAGGCGCCCTGACAGGCAACAGAAGGAGGCTCAGGCTCAGCCTTCCTCCTCTGACCTCCCTTTACTGCAGCTTGGTTGTCACCTGGGAGCTGCCCTTTCCTACCCGTCGTCTGACCTCTCCCCGATAATCAGCCCTTCCTCTTCATCCCAGTGGCCACAACCTCATCCCAGCTCCTGTCACCTGTTACAAATCATTCTGAGAGCTTCATGAAAAGAACTGTTTTCACTCCAAGGAAAAGGTCAGCCTCCCCTTGATTAAATTTGTCCAGGTTAAACATTATTAATGTAAATGTAAAGTGATGACCCTAAGGAACGGTCAAAGCTCTTGTCACCATCCATGTTGCTGTCTGTCCAGGAAATACCAATTAAATCCATAAACGGGCTATGCTTTCCTCCATCAGGACAATGTTGGATGCAGCAATGAATCACACCACACCTTCTTCCGTCTTGCTATTGGCAGTTGCTTGCTGCTTCACCTCCTCGTGCTTAACTGAAAATTCCTACTTTAACTCCGAGCTTAGAAGTGGAATTGTTAGCACAGAAGGCCAATCTCAAAATGCCAGAGAATCTCGCTCTAAGGTGAGCTACTGAAAGTTCAAGGAACATGTGGGGCTTCCAAGGTGATATTTCTTGGACAACTTCCAGATGGCCTCAGGGACTGAATAAGTATTTTTCAGGAATCATTTCAGCCCAGGGGCAAGGTTCTGAGGGAGACACTGGCATGGCATCTGAAAGGCATTGGTATGGTTCGGGATGCTGTTGATATTATTTTGTAGTGATCTCTTGTCTGCTCTGCTAAGATGCACTCCCTGCTTGTCTCAATTGTCTCTCAGCATTAACAAGCTGTCTTGAAAGCTTTGTAAGCAGCAATCTCATCCTCACCAACCTCTCAGAAGAACGCAGGGATAGCACGTTTTATCCCTAAGTCCTTTTATGTTTAATGGCAGTGCACTTACTTGAATAGGCTCATGAGGAATTTGTTTTACTCTTTACTAGTGAATATCTGCCTAAGTTGATTGAAGGGGCAGGCACTTCTGTATTATATGTTTCTCTTACTAGTTGATGAATAAAACACCGTTTGGCCAACAGAGTCAGGAAGATAGGTGGGACTGGGAGTGGAGGAGAATTCTGGGAAAAGTAGACAGAGAGCGACTACAGGGAGACGCCATGTAGCCACCAAAAGTAGTAACAGGTCTGGGCATTCTCCCGTAAGCCAAGACCATGTGGAAATACATAGATTTATAGAAATGGGTTAATAATTAAGACAGAGCTAGCCAATAAGAAGCCTTAGCCATCGGCCAACAGTTCAATAATTAATATAAGCCTTTGTGTGCTTATTTGGGGCAAATCAGCTGCAGGACCTGGTGGGACAAGAAACTCCAACTACAGTTGATGACACAGTCAAAGCCATACCTCGGGGGTCATGCTTAAGAAGTCCTCCTGTCATCAGAGGTGAGGATCACTATAACAACATAGGCTTTCCTCATTGGAGAAATAAAATGGTCTCCCAGAAAATGGGGCTGTGTTACTTCACTATGAGGAGCACTGAAGCCTTACCACATCTGGTGGCCCTTGTTGTCACCTCATCTATTGATACAACAGGCAGAACAACAGAGGACTTCTTGGATTAGTTCCCTTCCCTCAGAACAGAGGAGCAAGGAAAAGAAAAGAAAAACAAGAGTAAACCTAGAATAGCTTTGAATGCAGAATCTAGAATAGCGAGGGCTACCACAGCTTCCTAACAAGACTCCGGAGAATTGTAGGTCGAATTTTCTAGACTGTAGCTAATTAGAAAGGATTCCAAGGTAGAGAGACAGGTGGGACATAGCTTGTTGGGGTGTTCTCCAGATCTTAAACTATCACTACCAGCCACAAAAACTCAGAGCAGACAGTGTCCACCACATGACCAGTATATAACATCCAGTAAGTGGCACTCCATCAGTAAGGGTAAGCTAAGGGAACACTGTCCCCACTGTGTGCTGAGCCTGACTTCAGGCACCAGTTATGGATGCTTTTGGCTGATATAACCTGACTGGAATCCTAGGATCTGATCCACATCAAAGGGAGAAATGATGAAATCACACCACCCTAAAGGAAATCCTCCACGCCGAGCATCCTCTGACCCATGTGAGGAGCACCCTAATGGTCCCAGTGTGGGCCTCAGTGTGGGCCTCACTCACGAAGCCACCC